GAGTGCTTTCATATCGGCCTTCATGGTCTCAATCATGCTTAACGCCTCCATGAGCCGACACTCCAAGGAAGTGATAGCCTCATTCATCTCAAACTCGGCACATTGGCGTCCCTCCAACTCCTTGTGGAGGCTATCGGTATCCTCAATGGTGAAGTCCTCGAGAGTCTTGAACTTGCCATCGGCTACATCCAAACCCTGTCCTAATATCTCCACGGCCTGGCTTTACATTTCAACCCTTGCGACCCATTCCTCTCCGGCGGTGACGTCGATGGCCTCCTCGCCAAGTTCATCGTCACTTGCTTCGGTGGTCAAAGGTGGGTGAGATGTTAGCGCCTCACTTGGTGTAGGGTCGAGCAACATTTCTTCATTATCCTTTTGGTTCCTCTTTCCCTTGCGATTCTTTATTCCTCCCTCCGAACAGACGTTGGTGGTCCTAGCGGCGTTTACGTTCCCTTCTTTAGCCATTCCCTTAGTACAAGCCTTTGCTCTAATACCACGTTGTCACAGACTTAGAGTCTTACTAATATTCTGTGCGGCACTCGATAACTTACTCACGACTCTTTCACGCTCTTGTAAGCTCAAGTAAGCCTTTTGAAGCTAGATCGCTAAAAGAATATAAAGAAAGACTTGGAAAGATTAGAGAGCTTTTGGGAAAAGGATTTTTATTGCTTGGAAGATTGCTTACAACTTGCTTGATTGCTTGCTTCAAGCTTGGATGGATTACAAATGAATGTCCCATCTATTTATACTACAACCTAGGGGCTTAAGTGCAATTAAAAATTACTTGACAAGTCCCTACAATATTTATACTTTGGTCCCTCTCTAGAATTCTCTACACTTTCTAGGGAATTCTAAGGCTTTCTTGGAAATTATCTAGGGAGTTCTAGAGTGTTCTAGTAACCTCCCCACAACACTAGATTCTTCCCCCTTATTCTGGTGCCAAATTTGAACTGCGAAGTGGCGGGACATAACACTGGGTCAATAAAGAACTCTAGGAACGGGGTGAACTCCTATGAAATTTTTTCCTGGGAACTAACCCCGTTAGGGCCTGATGTTTGCGTAATCAACACACAACTTCCGATGCAAGTGTCTACGATCGTACAATAGTTTAGTAACCCAACCAAGGGTTGGGATTTTTTCCAAGATAGTGGTTTTGAGAATTAATAGAAGATTAAAATGTAGTTCTAACTAGTCGTAACTAACGACATTAACGATTACAAACATTTTAAATTAAAGGGGCGGGGATACAAGAGTGTCCATTAACAATGGGGGGTTTTGTCACTAGTAAGTAAAAACAGAAAAATAAACAAGGGTTTCTAAGTAATGAGAGGGAATCCTTGGGATGTGATGGGAATACGGATTAAGCTAGATTATTGGGTACATGCTTTCGATAGAAGATTCATAAAATAATAGTGACTAGGCTAGACTTTAAGAGTGATAAGCTCTCTCTCGAGCAACTTACCCCGTTTCAAATGCGTTCCACTCGGACACCCATTTGCCGCACGAAGACCAGCCTAAGACTTAACCCACTTACTCTCTCGAGCTGAGTGTGTGGACATGGGACTAGGGTTCACTCTCTCGAGCTGAACCTCAAGTCGACCCACTCACACCGGCTATTAATTTAGTGGTTTTAGTTTTACGACCTCTATCTCGAGCAAGCTAAAAATACATAAATAAACTTGTATTTGCAACTACAAATTCATTAAATCCATCCACAACCACTAAACAAAATCACATTTAAACTACGAATAGACTATCAGCAAGCAAGACCCAACAATTATCTTAACTCATATTCGCTAAATCACACCCCAAGAATTGGGGGTTTTAGCCACACATCATGAGATAGAAATTTGTACCTAAATGATCTTGCATTCAAATGGGTATGAAGATTTAAATCTTGTTACAGGCCAAGACTGAAGAATCCAAAAGACCCAAGTCCAAATCCTTGGAGATGAAACCCTCTTCTTTTTCAAGTCTTCAAAACCCTCTCAAACTTAGAGCAAACATATCAAAAAGTATTATTCTATATGAAAACTCACACTTGTTCGACTCTAAGTTAAAATTATAATAATTGTTCCACACTTACAACTACAACTCTAACTAGTATTTATAGTTTCAGCAGATTTGTGCTGCAGCGGATCATTCAGCATCGTTAGTCGGAATCGCCGATCAACTCGATGATTCGCCCTTTGGTGTAGGTCATCGCCGTCTTGCACCAGCCCTCAACATCATCGTGCTCTAGGTCATTGGGCGACATGGTACTTCTTCGCGAAACTTCTCGACGATGCGCGGACTGCTCCCGTTTTTCGCCGACTTGATCCTTTCCTTCAGGGCTCAGTACACTGGAAAAAAAGGCGAAGTAAAATCCTTCGGCGACTCACCAAGTGGACTCGGCGATCTTTAGGCCTTCATTTCTTTGTTCTTTTTAGCCTTTTCGTTCCTTTTTGCGACGTAGTGTCCATGCTTTCCTTAAAACTTCAAATACCTGAAACTTAAGGGGTTTCATCAGATATTGAGATAAAATAAGCATTTGAGGACACAATTTCTATTAAAATATAGCCCTAAATAAGTCCAATTTGTGGACTCATCAACACCCCCAACTTAAACTTTTGCTTGTCCTCAAGAAAACTCAACTTTCAAAAAAGGTGTCTCGAACAGTGCTACACAAGACTCAATCATGAATGCACACAACAAGACTCAATTTACTTATGCAAAGATCAAATGTGCACTTAAAGATTCAAGTTGTGACTCACCAATATCAACGAATATCATGCTCACAATACTTGCTTCAAATGCGAGTTCAAGCTCAACTATAGTGTTCAAATGCCCTCACACAAAGAATGATTCCATATTCACACAATGGTTTCACAATTTAAATCTTTGGAATCAGATGCAACGCTCACACTCACAAAGAAGAACATAATGCATAATTTCACCCATAGGTTTGCCCGTATTTTCTAATCAACATTTGTTTTAGCTCACTCAAGATAAAAAAAAAAAGTCTTTTCAAGGCTTGTAATGGGGCTGAGTGCAAATGTATGGTCATTTTGGCTCAGTGACTTTCATCCTCATGAGATGTGTTGCTCACAACACTTACTTTCCTTTCTCCTTCGTCATTTTCATTAATGCTTATAAGTCATCCTATTATTTACTTTTCAAGAATTGTTTGGAAATCCCCTTTCATTTTTCAACTTTATTCCACAACATTTCTTTTTCATTCTTTTTTTTCTTTTCTGTCTTTTTTTTTCTTATATGGAGGGGTTCCATTTTCCTCAAAACCATGGGTAGGAGGGACTTTCTTGCACGTCTTGATTTGCCTTATCTTTTCACCACGGCTATTCAAACTAACCACAACTTCATGAGGATTTTGGGGGATGGATTAAGAAAGGTCTAGTTTTCATCAAGTTTCCTCCAAAGAAAGGTAAGGCTCAAGGGGTGTTCAAGAGAGAATCACACACTCACAAGGTAAGTTTCAAAAGAGGTATATGTCAAATTGGTTCACACTCGTAGAAGTTGCCTAAGATCATATCAAGAGATAGCATCACTTAGTTGACCGGACCAACGGGGCAAATTCTAGGATCTATCATGCATAGTTCACAAGTAAGCTCATCACACTAGGCATTGACACTATAAGTCAAACAAGACTCCACACTTTCGCTAGTGTGCAATGATCATCACAAGAGACTCAATTTGATACTAGGCTAGTCATAACGAGATGCAAAGAGTTCACATATTATCTATGCAACTTCATTTGGCCTCATCGTAGCCGCGCATTCATGTTCGTTCGATTGAGAGCACTATTCAAGTCATCGGTATTGATTGGAACCGAGACTCAATTTTTTGCAAAAGAACACCCACATTCAACACATGAGAGGTGGCAAAAATGTGTAAAAAATTCAAAAAAATTTGGAAGGGTCAAAATCATTTTGCAATTTAAAATAAAAGGAGCCATAATCTCAAACATCCACAGAAAGGCAGTGATAATATCAGTTAAAACAGAACAACCCAAATATATACATAAAAACACGAGTCACAAATAGCACACAAAAGGTGAGCCTCACCCCACCACAATTAAATAGCATTTGTCCTCAGATGCACATGAAAAAAATATCCAAAATGACAATTAAAGAAAGACAGAGATGGAGGTAATAAGGATATCCTTTCTACGCAGTCGCTCCATGTGTCTGGGCATGAGTACCCAATGCCTTACCCTGAGCTTGGGCCTTAATGCATGAGGTCACCTCAGGGGCGACAACAGTGCCAGCTTCACCAAGGTCTGGTAATTGTGAGTCTGCCAGAAAGACATGCACAACTCTTTTGTGTCACGAAGGAGAGTATTGAAATGCTAAGCGGCAATGTAATCCAAGTTTGAGCACAATTCAACAACTAAAATGTTTAAAAACGCAAGAAATATAGAAACTAGAGTGCAGGTGTGAGTTTGGACAGATAAAAAGTGAGGGAAAGTGAATGAAGTTGAAACTTGTTAAACCTATGGCCTGCAAAAGTCATCCAATTTTTACCCACTCGGTGACATTAGTCGAGCTCGCCTACTCACTCGGCGGAACGCCGACTGTTTAGCTTCTTTCGCCGAAATTTATAGGACCACTAGTTTACGGGGGGTCCAAACGACGGTTTCCATCGTGATCGCCGACATGATCGGTGATTCGCCAATCATTTCCAAAGCTCATCTAGTTTTACAGACTCCATTGTTGACGATGTCTTGAGTCAAACATCGAATAAGGTTGGATTCGTCGAAACCTTCAGTGACTCGCCGACTGAATCTATTGCTTGTCATCCATCACTTTGTCGAACACTTCTCATACTTTAACTTTTACAAACAACACACCATTATTTTACCAAGAATTAAAGGGTTTTGGGTTGCCTCCCAAATAGCACTTTCGTTAACGTCGCGTCACAACGCTGCAGCGCCTTCTAGCGTCTTCCAAATACACCACTTCAACCAAAGAAATCTTTATACAATCCCCAAAATATAATTTCAGTTATTGACCATTCACTTTAAATGGAGGTCCTTCCTGGTCTTCAACTTCTATCGCACCATTAGTGAACACTCGCGTTACTCTAAAGGGTCCAGACCATTTGGATTTGATATTTCCGGGAAAAAGTCTAAGTCGAGAGTTGTATATCAAAACCCAATCTCCCACCTTGAAGTTCCGCTTGAGTATCCGAGCATTATGCCATTCGTTCATCTTCTCTTTGTAGATGGCTGAACTTTCATACGATCTGAGTCTAAATTCATCCAGTTCGTTCAGCTGCTCTACTCTCTCCCTTGAAGTTTTTAACCAGTCCAAATTTAAAACTTTCAATTCCCACAATGCTTTGTGTTCTAACTCAATGGGCAAATGACAAGCCTTACCATAAACCAACTGATATGGAGACATACCAATAAGGTGTTTTGTAAGCGGTCTGATATGCCCATAGTGCATCATCGAGTTTCCTAGTACCAGTCAGTTATGTTGGCATTTACTGTCTTTCCCAAGATACTTTTTATGTCCCGATTTGACACTTCGACTTTGCCACTTGTTTGGGGATGATATGGGGTTGCTACTTTGTGTTTCACCCCATATTTGCTCAGTGCCATTAAAATTCACCTATTGCAAAAGTGCGACCCCCCATCACTAATGATTGCCCTCGGAGTGCCTAATCTTGCGAATATGTAGCGTTTCAGAAATTGGACAACACTTTTTCCTTCGTTGTTTTGAAGTGCGATGGCTTCCACCCATTTGGAAACATAATCTACTGCCACCAAGAAATATTTATTTCCAAATGAGCTCACAAATGGGCCCATGAAATCGATTCCA